AAGGGATATTTACATGAATGTCACATAATTGAGTTTTAATCTTAAAAATGTTACATGACCAAATTCCTTATTCAAAAATGTCACTTACACACCATTATCCCGAAAATACCCTCTAAGTATACACTGAAAAGTGTTGTTTTGGTCATGTACGTCAGACACATACATACACATATATCACGTACACTCACATAAATTCACATGTACACGAAACTATATACACATGTGTTATCAGTCATGTACATCCAGTAAAACCACATATACACATAACTCTCATACATCTGCAATTGCAAGTACACGAATACTAGACGCATGTACACAAATACCATGTAGACTCACATATACATATGTACACTAGGTGAAACTATATGTACACTGCATATCTAATTATTATAGTGGCTCTCAGTGTACACATATTTTTAGTACACCAATCAAGTTTTTGCTTGATGTTACTATTCATGTACACTCGACAAAACCACACATAGACGTTCATCTATAATCACAACTATATGGTATACGCATACATACATCATATACCCCCTTTAATTTTAACGTATGCACGTACACTGTAACCATGAAATCATTAAGTGTAAGTTTACGTATACACGGATGACGCATGGTTATATAATTTGTGTCCATGATAGTGTACACATGTTTATATGAGTATGTGTACATGATAGTGTACATGATAGTGTACGTACATCTCTTATTGTGTACATGATAGTCTATATGGTAATGTACGTACATCTCTTATTTAGAAGTCAAATCCATATTAAATGCTCAAAACTGACATAAAGCATATGCATTAAATGCTACTCGAACAAAGATAAAATATGGACCTTGTCGTCCGAATTTTGCCAATGTGACATTTTTGTGATTAGAAACTACAATCTGACATTTGTGTAATTACAAACTACAAATATTACATTCTTTGATATTTTCCCAGAAAAAAAAACACTTAGAAATGGAACAAGTAAAAAGCCTTTATTTTTGATTGATGTGAGGGAATCAGGTCAGTCATATCTTGAGGGTGAACGTGAATCATATCTTTGATTGTTGTCTTATGTTTAGAGATATCAAACACGCCATGTGAACCGATTAACTAAATAACCTGATTGCTTGGATTTCACATTAAGCTAATTTAATGATTTTTTTCGGGAACCAAAGATAAGATTCGTATATTGATAATTCATTTTTTATTGTTACACTAAATTTCCCGACCGTTGATTACGAAGCTTCCTTTTTTTTATTTAAGAGAAATAAAAAGCTGCATATATGAGAAAAGGTGAATTGC